TATGAGCATTCACTTGATACATTCTTCTGCTAAAATATAATGAATAATACGGAGAGGATCTGAGGCAAAGATCAGGAAAAACATATTTTCTTTAAAAGGTAAAAAGTAGGGATGTAGAATCTTAGCATAACGTTCAAAAAATTCAAACATGGCTGAATGCAAAAATGCTTGCCTTAATTCCAACGATTAAAAGTCTCTGATAGTTGATGTCTAAAATTTCCTCAAGGAAAAGTAATCAAACTTTTTCATTGCAATTTTGTGTCATTATTTTTTTTCTAGACAGAGTGAAGAAATTCGCAGAAACTTTCAAAAGACACTAATGGATCATCTTTCCTTTGAAAAGTTAAAACATGAGCAGAGACTTAAGTCGTCGCGATTTCCGACTTCGGCCATAAAAGTATAAAATATGTAACATTATGATTTTCTAAACTTATTATCTTGGTAAGAACTAGTATTAAGATAATTACCATAATAGACATGTATTCAATAATAATTAAACTAATAATATGTGTTTCGAAAATTAAATAAACTATTGACATTAAAATAACAGGTGTGATTATTTCTGATTATTTTTTCGCATGCTGATGGTTCGAAGAAGTCCTCATACGTAAGCTAGGAGTAATAGTGAAATGAGGGGATTTGAGGAAATGGCGCATGAGTGCAGTTTTTGCTATTTCGAGAAATACGTGTTTGAAGTTTCGAAATTACATGGATGCTTATGGCGGAAAGAAAGTTCAGACTGACTATTTGATACTTAAAATTTGAATTCGGGAGCGAATGAAAAAAACCGATTAACGCTGGAAAAAAAACACATTGGATCTAGAGTCCAGACTCTTGAAAACGTTGACAAGAAAAAATACTCTTGATTCAATCGGATTTTTGATTGAATCAAAACGAAACCCGCTTAAATTAAGAGGCTTGGTTCTTGATTTAAGCTAGATTCTGATTGAATCAAGAGTACTTTTTCTTGTCACTGTTTTTAAGAGTCTGGAAACTAGATCCAATGTGTTTTTTTTTCCAGTGAAGGGTGGCGTTGTTAACAGAAAACCCACCTCACACTCTAATTGTGTTTTCTATTAGTTTTGGGTTTCCTATATGGTCGGCTTTCATTGTTTTGTCTTTGTTATTGTTTTGTTTTGTCCTGTTCATGCACAGAATAATCATTAAGATTAGGTTTACATGAAATCAGCAAAATCTCAATTTTTTCAAAAACTGCACTTGCGCGCCTTGTCCTCCGAGCCCCTCAAATGAACCCCCAGATTCTCAACAGTGTTAATAAACCTCTGGAAAACCAGGTGAGAAATTAATCCCAGTCCGGAACACAGCAAGTTCAAACTGACTTTCCGATGCCTAAAAATTGGAATTTGATGGCAAGCTTTCCACAGAAAAAGCATTAAGATTAGTTTTACTTGAAATCATTAAAATCTCAATTCATTCACGCCTTGCCCTCCTAGCCCCTCAAATGAGCCCCCGGATTTTCAACAGTGTTAACAAACCTCTGGAAAACCAGGTGAGAAATTAATCCCAGTCCGGAACACAGCAAGTTCAAACTGACTTTCCGATGCCTAAAAATTGGAATTTGATGGCAAGCTTTTCACAGAAAAAGCATTAAGATTAGTTTTACTTGAAATCATTAAAATCTCAATTTATTCACGCCTTGCCCTCCGAGCCCCCTTAATGAACCCCCGGATTTTCAACAGTGTTAACAAACCTCTGGAAAACCAGGTGAGAATTAATCCCCGTCCGGAACACAGCTCGTCGTAACAGAAACACAGAAACGTTGGCACGCGGTGGGGGGCGAGGGGAGAGAGGGGTGCCGACTCAGTTAACTCGAACAAGGGTGGAACAGGTGGTGGCTTCACTGGGCACGCACAAGCACACGAGCACGAGCACGAGCACGAGCACGGAGAGGAGGCAAACTTGGAGCGGCCGAAAGCGCGAAGGGCGACTGCGGCTGATCGCCCGTAAATCCACCTCGGCGATCGGCATCATCTTCGGGGGACGCGGCCCCCGGCCCCTGCTACCGGCCGGCGTCGGCCGGCGCCGCGACGCGCCACGCGCCCAGCTATGACGTCACGTCAACGTCACCACGCGCGCCGTCCTCCTTCGACTTAATTTCGGGGTGTCCCGCGGGACTCCCGACTAAGAATAGGATATTGGTCTCGAAAATACCCGCCTATTATTTTTAGACGGGGTGCATCTAACCTTTACATCGAATCTTGACTACGATCCGGATTATTGATTTCATCGTCTTTCCTCTGTTGTTCTTCTTTCCCAAGAAAAATTCTTTATGTAATATTTAATTTTGGGTTGTCTCGCGGAACTCCCGACTAAGAATAGGATATTGGTCTCGCAAATACCCGCCTATTATTTTTAGACGGGGTGCATCTAACCTTTACATCGAATCTTGACTCCGATCCGTATTATAGATTTCATCATCTTTCCTCTGTTGTTCTTCTTTTACAAGAAAAATTCTTTAATTACTTAATTTCGTAACATTTTAATTAGTAATACTTAATTTCGTATTGTCCCGCGGGACACCCGACTAAGAATACGATATTTGTCTCGAAAATACCCGCCTATTATTTTTAGACGGGGTGTTGAATGCATCTAACCTTTACATCGAATCTTGACTACGATCCGTATTATTTTCATCGATTTTCCTCTCTGTTTTTCTTCTTTTCCAAGAAAAATTCTTTAATTTTAATTTCGTAACATTTTAAGTACAAATGCTTAATTTCGGGTTGTCCCGCGGAACACCCGACTAAGAATAGGATATTGGTCTCGAAAATACCCGCCTATTATTTTTAGACGGGGTGTCGAGTGCATCTAACCTTTACATCAAATCTTGACTACGATCCCACTGCAAAAAAAGTCTCTTGAATCTAGAGTCCAGACTCTCAATAACATTGATAAGAAAAAATACTCTCGATTCGATCCGATTTTACCTTGAATCGAAGAGCCTGTTGATTTTTGACCGCCTCTATCTTGATTTAGGCAAATTTCCTTTTGATTCAAGCGAAAAGTCCGATTGAATCAAGAGAATCTTTTCTTGTCAATGTTTTCAAGAAGGGGTGTTTTTAGAGGAAAATTTCATGAGGGAACCAATGAAACCACTTTCAGAACCTCAACGTGTTGTATAAACGGAGTTATAAGGGTTGAGAGTTTCAGAATTTTGTCCGACCTCTCCTATTGACTCGATCCACCGTGTGGCCTGGCGACCACGGGGCGTAACACTAATTTTCAAAAGTATGGATCGTATAAGTTAGTGGTTCGATGTATCGTTTAGTTCAAAACAATAGAGCATAACTTCAAACCAAAATTTTAGGATACTTGTCAGAAAAGCTGAAAATGAGAAATTTCGTAGCAATTTCACTACTCTTGGCCAATTATTAGTACTCATATACGAATCAAAAATCTATCACAAGAAACCCGTTCCTTCAGATTACTCAATTGACATTTAAGGCTATGTTTATGTTTTGAACCAATCGATATCGATACAATCTCACCCGTTTGATGTATCGAATACGATCTATTCATTCTATCTCTAGCAACCTTGAGGAGGGCACGGCAATCGGTTTCGCGGAAATAGTGTTGATTTTGTGAAAGGGCTCGCGAAATTGATTCGAGTGGAGACAGGGCTAAATGTGTGATGAAATTAGATCTACGACGTGGGGTAAGGTGGAAGTGTCACGACAGGTTGATGATGTGCTAGAGGGGTAGAGGGAGGGGGGCCGGTGCAGGGTGGGTGGGGGTGGGAGGGTTCGTCCGCGTGGCTTTAAGTGTCACCCGGGTCGTCGAATAAATTATTTGCTATCATTGCGATGGTCCTCGTCACGTGGCCCAACTCACGCTACGAGTCAGGGAGGAGGGGAGGAGGTGCGAATGACGAGGTGAAAGGTGGAGGTGAGGGATTCGGGGACAAATGGTTGAGGAGCACGAAGGGATAAGAGAAAGGGGGGAGAGGGAGAGAGACCAGAGTTACCAAACTCGTCAACTTCAAAGGATTTGTCGCAATCGGGACGAGGAGAAGAGTTTCTTCTGACGGCAAATTAGTTAAAAATTATAATAAGCGCATTGGAACGGTCTGAAGTATACTCGAGACTTCTCGATCTGCATAAGAAATGAGCCTGTTGCAAACTTCAGCTGGAGCAAATAGAAGAGATATTTGTTCTAGAAAATGGCTAAAAAAATCACGATGAACGCATATCAGGGTGTCTATTTTTTTTCATTTTGGGAAATCCTGATTATTCCTAGAGTACCTTCGTAGGGAGAATATGGACAACTGGAAAATTTGGAGGTTACGTTTGATCAGGTCATGTAGCTCTTAGGGCCCAAAAGGGGAGCCAACCTATGAACTCGAATTATCCAGTGGTACAAATTTTCACATTTCGACTTTTTACACTGATCAAAAATTATAAAAACAGGTATAAAACTTTTATTTCACTTACACTTTCTCAGTTTCAAAGTTTTAATCCTTAAAGACGCTTGTTTGTGATGCGCTGTCGGCCATATTGAGTAACCTTCCAAATGCATAGGTTGGGAACGGCACTTTTCTATAGTGATTTTCGTTTTTCACGTTGTCACCCTTTTGGGCCCTAAGAGCTACATAAATCAAGTTGTCCATACTCTCCCTATGGAGGTACTCTAATTATTCCTGATTTTTGACTGCTAAATCCTGATTTCATTTTTCTAAATCCTGATTTTTTGCTGAGGTAAAAAGTATAGCTCGATAAATAATAATAAAATCCGATCGGACGGTCGACTTTTCTCAAATCCTGATTTTACGACCGATTTTTCCTCAAATCCTGATGAATTCGGGATTAAATCCTGATCAACCTCAAATCCATACATGAGTTGATACAGAGGAGTCGCCCCATTCCACGACTCCACGCAAAACTTAAAATGGCCGCGTAAACACAATTCTCGAATACAAACAAACAATGAACATATACTACGACTGTTTGAACTTAACTTGGAAAGCAAGGAAATAATTATACCTCGGATGAATGGCGTTTGTCAGAAAGTCTGCGTTTTCAACCAGATTCGTTGATGCAGCTGGACTTAAGATCAATGAATTTTATTTCATCTCCTTGATATTCACTGAAGCTCGCCATTGAAGGTAAAGCAAGACTGGTTACCATTCTTGTCGTAATTGGTTCTGGAAGCGAAAGAAAAGAATCAGCATGAGTGCAACTAGAACGTATCTATGCTAAACGGATATATATGCATGAATGGATTAAATAACGAAGAACTGTGCAGCAAGGAAATCCTAGTTACTTCCAATCTAATTTTACTTGTGCATGTGCATAGTCCCTTTCATATGCGTCCACTTAAAGGAATGACATTATAATGCAGTGTAATTTGGCTAATGGTCTTTTGCGTCCAAAGGTCAGTAGGAGACAAAGAGGGATCAAAGGAGGAACTCTCCAACTCCACAGATGGACCATGGAAAACCGTTGAGAAAATAATGATCGTTATTTGACAGAGAACGCGAATTCGTGGAAAACAATCGTAGCAAGAAGAGGTTCCTGAAATGTCCTCCTCCGTCGTTATGCGGGTGAGAAAAATTCGCCTGTTTCATTCAACAACGAAGTCATTGATGTGCAACATCGAAGACACTGGCAAAAGATACAACAAAAAAAGTAAAGGTCAATTTTATTGTCAGAGGTTTATGTCATAGTTTCCAAGACTACAGACTGCAAAAACAGAAAAATAGGGACTAAGAGAGAAACAAATCAAGATCGAAGTGAAGATTTACGTCATGAATACTTGAACCGCGTAAAGCTGAAAGAAACCAAGCCACATCAGCTATTGCAAAATTTAATGGGACAGTTTAATTATTTACATGAAAACAGTTGTGCGGATTTTCGTGCAAATTTCCGTGAATTTTCTGCAAAGTACAGAACAAATTCCTTGAAAGTATCAAAAAAATCCACAGATACGCTCTCTTGAAAAAAATTGGATTTCTCAGTTAAATTTGGCAATAGCTGGTGTGGCTTGGTTCCTTTCTGCTGGACACGGTCCACTGAAAGCTCTCCGACGTCATTTTTTCCGTCGCTTTTTTTTCTATTTTGTTATTCGAGCTGTACATAATTAAACGAAAGGTACGTATGGTCAGTCTCTGGCGATATAAAGTTACTTGATTTTACGTTACCCCTAAATACTTGGAAAACATAAACCTATTCAGACCCCTCTTCATATGTGCTAATTCGAGTTTTATTAACCTGGACTTTCCGTGTCTGGGAAAGCACTTGTATGTACGAGGTACCTCTTGCCAAACACCTGTTGCACGCTTGCCGAATGCAGGAGTCATCGATTCATGAAGTCCACAAGCAACTACAAAAGATGAATGTAGCTAAACCTTACATTTCCTACGGGATTCGTTAAACAGATAGCATGGTATTACTAGTAATCACAAGAATAGTTGCAAAGACTTCAGGGATTTTGGGGTCGTTAATCTTTTGGAGCCTTGCAAATAGTCCCTATAAGCATTGATTTGTACCCTAAGGAAAAATAAGAGACTGTGCTAAGTTCAACGGTCACTGACAAAAAATTTCAAAACCAACGTTCTCCTATATTCATACTAGGCACGCCTTTACATACCTGGATTCAACGCAAGCAAAAGCCATAGATAAATTTTGATTTGCATCAGCGGCATAAACACGGCGTAATCAGGGGTCAAAACGAAAGAAAGGGTTCTGCGACCCGATTATTGAAACTGATAGAAAAAGCTATAGACAAAGAGGACAAAAGGGATATGGAGCGATCCTATTGGTGGAATCGGGTGGTTGGAATGGACAAAGGATAACCCTACAGTTAGTCCACCAAATTCTCCCTTAGCCTATAGGAACCACCCATTTCAACCAATAGGATTGCTCCACATTCTGTATGTCATCCTTGTCTATTGCTTTGTCTATCAATTTCATCTATCAGCCCGCTGCAAAGCACTTTTTCAAAACCCCTATTCCACACTGACAAGGCGAAATTAAGACTGATAACTACACGATGCGTACGCTTCAGTAACCTTTTTTGCATATCAGATGATTTGAAAGCATTCCAACCGCTCGTAAATGTTTTTTTCAATACGGCGAGTATCGTGCACAAGTATGTTTCCAGGTCGCAATACTCTAAATCCTTTTAAAAGTTGAAGTTATGATTCTCACATTTTTACTTTGAAAAATAACGTTACGTTTCTCTCCACAGTGTTAATTTGGTTGCAGGGGCGGACTGGTAGTCGAAAAGTTAGGAGGCGACCTAAATGTGGGGGCCCCTCTAAGAAGGTCCGGGGGCCCTCCCCCGGAAAATTTTGAAAATGTCACACTTTTTAAACGCAATTTTGAACATTATTGGAGTTAAATTCTACAATTCTTGAACTTCAAAATATAACCCATTCTCAGGATTCTTCGGGGGTCCCTTCATCACATAGCTCTAGGCGACCTTTCATGTCTCTTAGAGACAAATTTTCAAGGATTTTGGGGCTTTTTAGTGACTGAAAAGGATAGGAAAATTAAAACATTACGGGGGAAAAAACGATGACTCGAAAAAATTCGCCGCCGGGGGCCCCTTCGGGACCTCCGCGGCAAATTGTTAGGAGGCGATCGCCTCCCCGCCCCCATGGCCAGTCCGCCCCTGTTTGGTTGTATCCCCTTCTGACAAATTGAGGTATTGCCAAAATGCCAACCTCACCAGCGGGCCGATTATTGAAATCGATAGACAAAGCTATAGACAAAGAGGACAAAAGTGATTTGGGGGGATCTCATTGGTAGGAGCGGGCGGTTGTAATAGACGAAGGAAGTTGGTGATAGACAAACTGACGGTAGCCCACGAGAGATCTTATAGTCAGTCCATCATTTTCTCCGTTCAGCTATAGGAACCACTTATTTCAATCACTAGGTTCGCTTCATACTCCCTGCTGCGTCTTCTTTGTCTATCACTTTGTCGATCAATTTCAATAATTAGCCCGCAGCTTGGAAGAGCCGTCACTTAGCTTCTAACGCTTACGCGGGTAGAGTGACAAAACATTCAATTATTAGAGACGGAGGGATTGAACGTCTTAAGCATTAGATTTTCAGGAAAAATTGTTTGTTTAGGAAGATAAACCTGTATCTGGCGTCAATAACTCATCATTTCACAAAACAAAGACCTCGAGTGAATTTTAATCTGCGACACTCCCCTCCCTTTCGCTTTCTCTTGCATCGGCCAGATCAGATCTCCCTCTCCAAAATTATCCAGCTTAGTGGTTTGAACGGCTTTTCCTTAGCATTGTTATCAATCGATCAGCGATAATTTCACCTTGATTAAGTACTATTGATGCCTGTCGTGCGGATTAGCAGTAGACATAGTTACTGCCGTGCTAAGGAAGAACGTCGTATGAGCCTTCAGGCGTTGCCAAATTTCCTTTGGTAAATCAAGGATTTTCTGGAAAATTTGTGAATATTTTTCCTCCAATTTTTTAGATAATTTTGTTCGCAATTTCACCTAAGGTTCCTGAAAATTTCAAGGAACAATATTCATAACTTTCTTCAACATTGACTATTTTCCGATAGGAAATTTGGAAACTCTCGAATGTTCATACGCCGTTTCTCCTTAGCACGGCAGATTAGGAGTTGCGGGAAGAACAGAGATGGGGGAGGAGCGAAACAAGAAGGGACTGGGTGTGACGTAGATCAATTATTATCGTCACTTGCAGGACCACGGTATGCACCAGGAGTTCGATCGGGGCATATTTTTTGAAAGAGAAATGCGTTAAAGTCCCTGAGTGTTTTAAGAGTTTCATCTAGAGATTTTGAAGACAACCCGACAGGGTGCTTTGCTGCCGTGTTACCAAAAAGAGCACTATGGACAAAATGGTTCCGAAAAAGGGTTTTCTCCATTATTAAAAATCTCTGAGGGAAATTTGATGTAAATCTTACTTCGGAGTTTATATAACGCGAGCGTCAAAAGAAACCAAATGATACATGCACAGAAAGTTTTTTTAGATAATTTTTTTAGAAAATTTTTTCAGATATTATTTTGACTTAATTTTGAATATTTGAAAGCGTCGTTTCTTGTCGACAAAGTTAAATCCGTGCGGATTCAACTTAACATTAGTTTTTTTTAGTTAAAAAAGCGTCGTCTTGGTATCGTTAAGTTTAAGTTTAAAAAAAAGATGTCAAAATAACGTTTCTTTAACTGACTTAAAGTTAACTCCGTACGGATTTAACTTAGAAAAATCAAATTTTGTCGACAAGAAACGACGTTTTAAAGTCGTGAAAAATTTCAATGAAAATTTTTTTCAGTGCGAATGCGGGGTGAAATTCAATCCAAAAGAACGCAGAACACTCCGCGATAAGAGTAGATTCCGTTTCGCCTTCATCGCACTTCGCACTCGAGTTCTTTGAGCGTGGAGTGAGAAAAGCGAAAAGGCCTTCAATTTTGGAAAATGCAACACGCACATCCGCGGAACACGAATAGTTGTATATCAAGGCGCTACAGACAACATATTATCATTTCTGAATATGCAACACGCACACCTAAGATTCTAAAAATATAAGCAAAAGTTAAAAAAAAAAGTTTTGTTGTGCATATACATGAATGATCATTTTGAAAGAACTACGTCTTAAGTTTAGTGACAGAACTTCTACATCCTTCAGTATCTTCAAAGAACCTCCTGGTTTCCGGATGGACGGCCTCCATTCAAAAGAGCGAAAAGATAGGGAATCGAAAATAGCTTCCTCGAGAGGAAGCGTAGTAAGAACACATAATTTAAGTCAACGGCGTAGGTATAGAAATACAGATAATGTCATTTAGTATTTTCCACACACTCTAGTGATTTCCAGCCGAGTGCAGGTTACTGGCTGTAGATCCATCCATCATGATCAATTGATAATAATTATAATGAGATTCCATCTGAACTCGATATGCTTTCCAATTGCTATTCATAGCACCTTTTACCGCACCCCGGTTCCTCCGCAACGTCGACCGTCCCAATCCAATTGATATTCTTTTCGCGTGAGAGAACTTTGACGGAAAAATAATAAAGGAGGAAAAAAGGAGCCCTTTGTCGACTACTCCATACTTAAAAAAGAAGGGCGGAAGACGAAAAACTGAGCGAGAATCTTGATGGTCGCAAGTGACAGTGAGATGTAGAAAAAATGAATCCATCGAAAGAGTGTTCAG